ACAGAAAAGTATGCCAAATGTCAAAAAATTACTTCATCATAGCAAATCGTTCAATGAAATCAGCACTAAAGAGTTGCGCTATAATGTCCAATTTTTCGTCATGCTCCACGCTGTAACATAATCATTAATGCTAACTTAATAAGAAATCTATATTGTAAACTTAATAATTCTTGATTCTCAAGCTAATTCGTGCACTGAGAAACAGTATTGAAAAGGCGCGCGCATAGACCTTAGGGATTTTCATTCAATATTCAGGAAGCGCAATGCTGATTGATTTGTTCTGATTGTAATTTTGCTTGAGTCCAACCTCGCTGCCCTTTCAATCAGTTGTACATTGGCATTCACCGATAACGTAACCGTTCCGAAGGCATCATCCTCACGATCAAATTCATAAACAGTATTTTTTCATTATTATTCTCATTCGTGCTATTATTATCGCTGCGTATTCATGTCCAAACCGGTGTTTCATGTTCTTGTTATTTCTGCGGGTTATCAACGGCTCGATGCTCATCATCGTAATGATTTCGAGACTCAAAACAAATCCCATTCAATAAAACTGGAACTGAAACATTTTCTCATTTTCTTTTGAACTTTTCCAGTATATTCCTATCGGTGGTTTTTTTAAATCATTTTCAACATTCCATCCTTCGGTCACTACCGCAACGCAGTTCGACCACAAACTATTCGGCGAAACGGTTTGTGATCGAACAGTCGGCTGCCGATCAGTAGTTCTTTTCTCACTGTCAGCAAAAAACGATTGAAAAGTATTCCTCGGAAACCGAAAGACGATTACTCTAAGAGGATTTTTGTACAATTCAAGATGAAAGCATTGAGCCATTTTACTTCGATTTCATGTTTGCGTCCATAACTCAGGCTGTTTGGTTGATTCTTTGTATAATTTACGTTTCGCTTTATCGTTGACCACAATGGTTTTCCTGTTTTGCCGACTTTATCAGTATTCGTAACGATAATAAAAATCATTTGAATACGGAACTGAGAGAAACTTTCTGTAAGATATATAGAGTGCATTTGTACCTTTGCAGGTCGCTAAACATATGACAATAATTCGAGCCAATGTCTGAACAATGTGAGAGAACACATTTTGTTGAACTTCTTGATGTATTATCCAGATTAGGAATCTGAGGAAGTGCTAAAATCTCGCTCTTCTTTGCAGGAAAAAAGTTGCTATAATTAAAAAATGCAGAACGTACAACTCCATTGGTGTCTGTGGGCGAATGATAAACGAATGTCATAGCAAACAGTTGGAATGTTGTTTTTATAGATAAAAACTTCTAGTTGATCACAGAAAGCGCAAGAAATGTACAAAGGTTAATGCCTATACAACAAAAATACACACAAAATTATGGAACCCACACATGCAAATGCCATTATCGTTAACATTGTAACTCACAAATAAACTCGAATACTATGGAACATTTCGGTATGGTTTATATTGCCAGAAAGACCTTTTCCAAATCATAATCGCAATATCTTCATGAAAGTTGAGCGGAAACAGTATGAAAAATATTGCTATTTTGAAGATATTCCGTAGAAATATTAAAGATGGATCTGATCTGATACGGACACAATATGGCAATTCCANCATACATATATATTTGACTACAACCTATAACAAGCGGAGCTTCCTGTTATCTTTGGTTTGAGCACATTTCGAACATTAATTATAAAATATCTTACGGAGATAAATCCCTTAGCAAGTGCTCTACAGTAGAAGACATCCTGAGAATTTCGAGACATTCGAATAGAATTCTATGATAGAAACATTAAATAGGCAAAACAGTCAATATGACAAGAAACACAGTAGCAAGTTTCGCGAGTGCACTAGGATAAGTGCGACTTGCTCTCCACGAGCCTACAGCTGAGATTTGGGTTGAGTTAAAAATTTAGCCGCAGCATAACTATGAATAATTTCGCCGTTGTCGTTCACCTTTATTAAGTTTCCGTCTGATAGAGTGTGTGAGTACGACAAATTACGGCTCACATGGTAAGGAGTATGACTTTGAGTTCGGTGAACACTGGAACGGTGTTGATGATGAGGGTGATGCGCCCTCTCACTGATAGGCTGTTCGTAGATTTGTTCGTTTTGATCTTGATGATGGTTCATCGATCTCGAGGGTATTAGCGAGTGGTGATAACGATCTGCTGCAGTGTTGTCCTCGAATGTTGATGCAGTTGATGCGCTCAATTCACTCGGTGAATAGAACGTTTGCTTTGTTAGCAGATCTGTTTTATCGTACGTTATGGATGTGGATAACATTGTGGAACGATCGTAGACCGGTGTTCGTGTCTTCGAGGTTTTCGAACGCGTGAACACACCAACTCGATGGAACATCCAACATATCGGTAACGTTAACAGCGACATCACCGTTAGTGCACTACATACTATTATTAGAGTCACTTCCCATTCATTCATTGTCAACATCA